ACCTTATTGATGAAGAGGGCAAGGATGAGCCCCTTCTGTGCGAAGTTTGCGTTAGAGACAAGCCAGTGCAGTCGGAGCTGCGCGCGCAAGGGGACGGTAAGGGGCGGAGGCGCGGGCGCGGGTGGGGTTAGGTTGGGTTGGTGGGGCAGAGGAGAGGTGTCTGGAGGCGTCTATTGATAATGTGGTCTAGTGTTCTGGAGAGTGTCATGCGGCAGTGTCTAAGGGAGTGTCTGGGGGAGTCTTCTCGGAGGCGGTCTCACCTCGCTCTCCTCGTCGGTCGCCTCGAGTGGCAGTAGCTCCGCCGCAACCTGCCAGTAGTGGAGCGAAGACGAGATGGGCCGAGAGGAGCCGAGAGGAGCCGAGAGGAGCCGAGAGGAGCCGAGAGGAGACGAGAGGAGACGAGAGGAGACGAGAGGAGACGAGAGGAGACGAGAGGAGACGAGAGGAGACGAGAGGAGACGAGAGGAGACGAGAGGAGACGAGAGGAGACGAGAGGAGGCGAGAGGAGACGAGAGGAGACGAGAGGAGACGAGAGGAGACGAGAGGAGACGAGAGGAGACGAGAGGGGCCTCCTGAGAGCCGTGCACGAGCCGCAGAGGTGATCTCCCCACATCTCCCCACATCTCCCCCCATCTCCCCACCTGTGAGCCGTGCACGAGCCGCACGACGTCGAGTGCAGAGTGCGAGGCGAGCGTGTGCAGCTCGGTCGCGTGCTCGGCCGCCTACGAGGTGGGGAGATGTGGGGAGGTGTGGGGAGGTGTGGGGAGATGTGGGGAGATGTGGGGAGGTGTGGGGAGGTGTGGGGAGATGTGAGGAGATGTGGGGAGATGTGGGGAGGTGTGAGGAGATGTGGGGAGATGTGGGGAGATGTGGGGAGGTGTGAGGAGATGTGGGGAGATGTGGGGAGATGTGGGGAGATGTGGGGAGATGTGGGGAGATGTGGGGAGATGTGGGGAGATGTGGGGAGATGTGGGGAGGTGTGAGGAGGTGTGGGGAGATGTGGTGTGTGCAGCTCGGCCGCCTTTTTGCACGACATGGCGACGCCCGCGTTGTCGAGCGCATACGACTGCACGACCTGTTGTGACAAAGACTCTCTCTCTCTCTCTCTCTCTCTCTCTCTCTCTCTACACACTCTCTCTCTCTACTCCACATCTCTCCCTATCTCCTCCATACTCTCTACAT